CAGGAATTTCATATATAAAATCACTATAAGTGTCAAGAAGAATTATGTTGGCTCATCGTTTGAAATTCGGGCATTCAGACAAGTAAACAATACTCACCAATTGCGTTTAAGTAGCTTGTTTGATATAAAGAATGGTTTCAGCACAGGCCCCAAGAACGAAACTGTCTTCATTCCATTCCGATCTTCTTGTTGGTCCCACCAGGATCCCTGTAGTAGTTACTATCCCTGTAGCAGACTTTAACAACGAAGTGTGGCCCCTTATTATTATGGGAAACGTGAATCATATTAATTGAAAATCATCACATTCAACTTACACACTCTCAAAAAATTCAGTAAGCATGTCATCATCAGCCTGTCTGCCATTCCCGCAGAAGTGACTCGTGTGCAGCATGCGGACTGTTTCCACCAATGTTTCGGGAATTTTTCAGCTCAGAGGAAAGAAAATTCTCAACATGTCCCAGAAACATTACCCTAGACATCATGTGACATCGCAAGATATCATCATTTGAGAGTTGATATAAGACAAATTGCTTCTCAATGCTGTTGACTACTTTCATCCATAGACCTCCATCAAACATTTCCCGAAGATTGCCATCCTCAAACAGAATGATATGATTCAGAGCACTAATTTCCATAATAATCATTGAATAGTGAGATGAGATCAGTTGATTAAAAAAAAAGAGGTAGTTACTTACAGGATCTCTGTGTCATCCTCCAAAAACACCAAAACGTGCCTTCTCAATGCAAAGCTGACGGCAGTCCATGAGCGTCTCTGAGATGCTCACATCATCAATGACCCACTGAAAACGAGAGGTTAACAACTAAACTATTCGTTAAAGCAAATACAGTATATATGCATACATGTTTTGAACCTTCTGTCAGCGTCGAAATCTCGCTTCCTAGGCCAATAAGCCAATTGATCCACTCACATGGTTGCTCAACGCTGTCCGAGGATTCGGCAGTTTTTATGGAGCAATATTTCGAAAACGTCAGGAGTCACATCTTCAAGCGTTATGGCTGCTTTTTGAACTTCTCCAGATGTCTCTGTATTTCAGTTAAGTTATTCGATAGTCCGAAATCGTATCACTCTTTGAAAATGAACGTGATGTAAAAATTGATAATTGATTATCCACGTCGGAAATCCGACGCATCGAAGCTTCTCAATAGGCTTAGTACAAGATGATAAGCTAATTGTCTGTGCGGTTGTGCTGGTGCAAGACGTGGTAAAGAGAAAAGCTGCAATATTGGTAAACGAAACTCAGTTTAGCCAGAAAAGCCCAACAACGAAGCAGGCAGAAATCAGAATGACCGTGATGAGGGAATGTACAGAAAGTCCCAGTTTTCTTCATCGTCAACTCGGACAGGCAACCCGTCCATTGTGACGATCGTATCGGGCGCTCGTGTTTGTTTGTAGCAGTAGGCATCATCGCTAGGTCCAGAGTGGCGCTTCACACACCCTTTGTAGGTCTGAAAATACATGCATTTTAATCTCTTGTGGTCAATGTGAATCATAGATGCAACTACATATTAATATAGGAGTATGTGAAAAATAAACTTACGTGATTATCGGTGCTGTTTAAAGGACCTGTCACTTGTTCGGAGATAGAAGTCTCTCTATGATGCGTAATATTAATAATGAATGACCATCCATTTGTGGGAAGACTATTTGAAAATAATGGTTTACCTGCTGAATGTCTTTAACTGAGAAACTTATTTGGCACCATACAGTGGCATTGATATATCGATTTAAAACAGCAATTGTAGTATCGCTCAGCTTCTCAAAAGGCTAATAGAAGTGTTGAGAAAAGATTATTGGAATTACCATAGCAGAAGACTTTTAGTCGAGTATCTCCTTTATAATAACTACCTGATAATCAATCAACTCTTTGATAAAGCCTCTATAAGCTCCTTTCTTAAATTTGCATTCTTCAACGAATCAAGCCAAAGCTGCTCCACATCCTCAATGGAGTCTTCAAAAAAAAATAATTTGCGAAACAAATCGTTCATAAAACTAATCCTTCATGTCAGTAGCTGCTAAATAAAGCTGGATGAATGGATGATAGTTCCTGTGATTTCGGAGACAAGCGACAAAATTGGGTAGTCATGATTTGTTGCACCCACGTGATGTGTAATGCCTGCAAAAATTTGTCTTCCCTTCTAATTTAACCGCGAAGACTTTAACTGACACCTATTCCTATTACTATGGGTTGTCGAAGACTATGAATATCTCAGCTCCGGTGTCTCCTGCGGCCACCATGGCGAGGAAACCGTGAATTGCGCGTTTACGAACTATATGCGGCCACCAGGCGGTATAGTTCCTCTGGCGCACCTTACATTGTCAAATGCTATTGCGGCCACCAGGCGGATAGCCTCTTTGTGGTAAGGTCACACGGGTAAGAACGGAATGATGCTGCGGCCACCAGGCGAGCAGAGTTCTAAGATAGTTTTCAAACTTTTGCGCGGCCACCAGGCGGCAACTGATTTGAAACTATATTCCTTCTAAACATGTTGGTTTGATGTACCAATATTTGCTAACGTTTGTTGATGTTTAATCCATCGTTAACTGACCTTTCTCATCTGATATTGTTTTCTCAACATTCGTTAAAAAGTTGGTTTTTTTTTTTTTCCTTTCTGTTTTATTTGCCCTCACATACCATCTATTTAAACAAAGATTGACTATTACTATGGCTAATCAAACTTTATTAAGTTCATCTATGGTTAAGCCAATATTGTGAATAATGTTTGCATTTGTTTGGGAAGGAGAAGATATAGATGAGTACTCACTTCTCGGACTGAATGATAGCATAATGAAGAGCAACCTCAAGCTAAAGCACAGCAGCCATATAAAGATAAACAAGGCAATCATAAGTCTTGTAGGAAGTGGTATGATTATAGTCTGTATAGACTATAATTATACCACTTAGTTTGGACTATAACCATCCCAGGTATGTGTCATGACAACAGAAATGCGACACCATTGTCAGTGTTGTGATATATACGTTCTGACCCAAATCGGAACTTGACCCAGTTCGGAACTGGGTCAACCCAATTCGGAACCATCACATGGTGATGTCTATTTCGATGATGTCCCATAAATTTATGCAGTAGAAGTTGTACAAATGCTATTTATTGCTATCGGGAATAATGCAGAGTGAAAGCTACGAAAAACGATATCACATTATGTATCATCTCTATTATGAACACTATACTTCTTCTATCAAAAAAATTATTGAAACCTAAGATCTCGATGACAATCATCTGATTTGTTGTATTTTGTATTTCTCAGCAATCTTCAAGTTAAATTATCTCTATCTGTAATTACTGATAGTGCACTAACTCTGAGATTCACTACTGTATTGTTCTTCACAATTAATTCAATTAACACAATTGATTAACACATTAGGTTCGATATGATCAGGTCAGTGTTGATGTATTGTTACTATTCATTTGATGGAATCTGTTTATTAATTAAACTGCATCAAACATTGAATTACTATACTAATACTGTAGTAAGCTGACAACGGAGCTATATAGTACCATGACAATGCTATCAATCATACAATCAATGCTTTGTAATCTAGATGATGCAGTATATCAAAATTGTTAAATTTTCAACAAACATACGATCAATGCTTCATAATCCAGATGATGCAGCCTATCAAAATTGTACA